CCAGCTACCTCCTGCTTCTTCACTGAAGTTTCTCTCTTCACTCTCTCTGTGGGGTTCAATTTGCACTTCAGATTCTTCCTGAGTCCAGGGGACATACTTCCCCCCTTCTTGTCTTCCTCATACTGCTGTATTCCAGCATCTGGATGGTAACTCTCAGAGGCTCTTTCTCTGATGCTAACCACTCCACTATCTTGGTGCTTCTGTCCCCAAAATATTTCCTCTTCATTCAGTTTTTTTATTTGTGCATGTTCACAGTTTGTGATTACATTCCTCATGGAGAGTTAGTACGTGTACATTACACATTTCAATGCTTTTTAAAGTGTCCTTCCTTTTATTCCTCTCCCCTTCACACTCTCTTGGTCCCCTTCCCTTTTGCAAAAGATCTACCTCTCTTTTTCCTATTATCTATTTTTTATTTTGCTCTTTACTTATATTTTACTTTTCTCATATAGGACAAATGATGCAATATTGAAGTTTCTGTGTCTGATTTATTTAACCAAACATTATGGCCTGAAAGTGCATCCATTTTCCTGCAAATGATTCAGGTTTATCACTCTTAATAGCACAGTAGTAGTCTGCTGTGTATACATACTACATTTTCTCTATCTATTCATCTGCTGATGGGCATAAAGGCTATTATCAATTGTGGTTCTATAAACATGCAAGTGATATGCAAGTATCACTGTAAAATGATATCTTGGCTGATTCTAGATGAAATGAGCAAGATAGTCATATATCTCTCATAAACCTTGTGGTGGTGGCATGTATGCTGCATACAGAACAAGTATAATCTAGTCACTCCAAGAATATTCCTGTATTGACATCAAACACTGAAGAACAGTCTGTTAGACTGCATAGAAGTAATTTATATGAGCTATGTTTAAGCATTTAAATTTTAGCACACATTTGGAAAAAATATTAGAAATATATCTATAAAATTATACCATATTCCATGTAAGGATATTTATCATTCATTACACTTTACAACAATCTCTATACAAGAATCTACAGGAGAATTTTCTTCCAAGAATCAGTGCAAGAAATGTTTGAGATTCCTCTCACTGAGTGGTTAACTTTTATCTTCCAGATACTGCAATTCATTCATTGACTGTTCATTTTGGTTTTGCTTGTTTTTTCCTGTTAGCATTGCTGCAGGAAAACCCTACAAAGGCTCTTCGTTCTGGCACTGAATTAAAATAGTACATATGCCCTTTGGAATCCACTGTTATTGTATTAGTTCATTTCACTCTCTACTTATAATAATTTTTCTATCCTTATCTTCATTTAGATTCAACATATTCATTTATACATCTAGTGTCCAAGAAGTGTTTCTTTATGAGATGGAATAAGGCAAAATATAAATATGTACATTTCCAAACCTAACTGCCTATCCTGGGCAATTCACAGATTCAGCAGCAGGGTTTTCTGATCTCTGAAATGAGAGTTTACTCCATTTTAGTTCTCAAATTTTTGTTCTTTTTCTCCCCGATCCCAAGAATAGAGATTGTACTAGGGCTTTCACATTGAGCTATCTCCCCAGCTAGTTTTAATATTTTATTTTGAGACAGGGAAGGGGGAGGAAAACTGAACTTTCTTTGAAAGATCAATGATATAGATGACTAGGTAAATAGACTACCAGCTTATTTGCACACGTAATTATTTTAAAAATAATTTTAAAGAATAAAAAGCCACATACAAATACATGCATAGTAAATTTTTAAAAGACTTCCAGCATAGAAATATTTGTGTGGTCTCCCGTGAGACGATGAATGAGCACTTATTGAGCTGGGATGTCTACTTCAAACAGGCATAGTATATTTTCAAACTCCTTATACTTTCAAATATTTTAAGCATCATATTTGGCCTCCAATATGGGAAGTATGCATGGATTACTAACTTTAAAAAGAGGTTCAAAATGACTGAACAACTTTGCATGAACGCCTAGTAAAGAATAACTGAAAGATATTTTACACAAATTATCTCATGAACTTTTGAAAGCAATCTTATATGTTAGTAATCTATAGCCTCCTTAAAGCATGTATAATCACTTTGTTTATCTTCTCTAAAGAACTGCCTATTCAGATCCTTTCCATATTTTTAAAGTTGGTTTTGCTTTATCAATGTTTAGTTATGAGTTCTGTATATATTTTGTATATGATTTGCAAATATTTTTGATGACTTTTTTGATATCCAAGTGTTCAGTTTCCATGAAGTTCAATTGTATTTATTCTTTTGTCATTTATACTTTTGATTTCATATCTATAAAATATTCCCTAAGGCAAAGTCATAAAAAATTATGCATATTTTTATTCAAGAAAGGTTTCATAGCTTTGGTTCTCTTATTTAGGTCTATGTTCTATTTTGAGTCAATTTTTCTGTATGGTGTCTTAACCTTGTCTGAGAAAGGAGAAACACTAGGCTAAGCCTGGCTCAGAAGTTGTCTCAGAACCTCATAGTAGGCAAGGGACTGGGACAGAATTCAAGTCTACACAAAATATTTGGTGATGCACCAAATATTTTTGCACAGTGAGTCCCCTTTCAGGGAGAAGGTGCTGCCAGCTACCTCTTTCTTCTTCGCTGAAGTTTCTCTCTTCACTCTCTCTGTGGGGTTCAATTTGCACTTCAGATTCTTCCTGGGTCCAGGGGACCTACTTCCCCCCTTCTTGTCTTCCTCATATTGCTATATTCCAGCATTTGGATGGTAACTCTCAGAGGCTCTTTCTCTGATGCTAACCACTCCACTATCTTGGTGCTTCTGTCCCCAAAATATTTCCTCTTCATTAAGTTTTTTTATTTGTGCATGTTCACAGTTTGTGATTACATTCCTCATGGAGAGTTAGTACGTGTACATTACACATTTCAAATATTTTAAGTTAGTACATGTACATTACAAATTTCAAATATTTGGTATTTGAAAGTCTGCACATTGCCTCCATTGTTACACTTGAGAGTCTGTACATTGCCTCCATTGTTACGCTTATTTTATATTGCAATTGGATCTGTTTTTCTTTCATCAAAATAAATGAAAAGTGATATATTAAATGGCTTTTGTTCTTTTGTCAATGAGTGGGAATGTAATGGAAAATATCTTAGGAAAATATTTCTCGAAAAGGGATCATCAGGTTACTACTCTATCTAAAGAAATGTTGCAAAGACACATGAAACATTTACAGAGCAAACCCAAATTCTAAATGATATAGATCTATAATCTCTATACTGAACATTCTTTACTGCTTTTATAATTAATCCATTGCTTTTGGTAATTGAAGTCACAAGAAAAATAGCTTCAATGTTTGCTTTCTTCAATATACAAGATCTATAATCATTGACTTTATTAACTCATATACCCCTTTCATTACGTTATGGTCTTCAAGAGGTGACCATCCTCAAACTAAATAAAGTTAGATTTATTTATTCCAACTACCTTGTATTGATAGGAGATATGGCAAAATGATATGTGACATTATCTAGTCTCATAATTTTGGTTAATAACCTGCTATTTCACAAGAAGTTTCAGGTAATTTGAAAAGTTAATAATTTTGTCAATGTTGAGTAACATTAACATAGGTTATGACTTTGATATAGCCAGATGATACATCATAAGTTACCCAATATTCAAGGTGATACTCTCACCACCATATATTACTGAGTCATTTACTGAGCACAGCAATAACTAATGATTAAAGTTGATGAAGATTCATAAAGAACAATGTATTATCTGCTGTATAAATAAACTCATTATATCAGATAGATTTCAAAAAAATTTATTAAGTAGACCTTTCAATTTTCTCTGCTCTGTCATTGATTGGTTCCTAAAACACCAATTAATTTTAGCTAGGTGTTACATATTTCCTAACTTCATTTGCCTACTATTTTTATGTATAGGATTCAACACATAGTTCATTGCAAAAGAAAGACAAGTATTAGTTAAATGAGGAGCAATTTGTCTGTTTTCGCTTTCTTGCTGACTCAAAGTGAATTTTAATTTGTGCCGCTTGCTTCTGTTAATGAAACTATTTAAAGTAATTATGAAAGCCTATAACGTTACATAATGAATACATCCTCCTCAATCTTAACAGAGCCTTTTAAAAAGTTAACTTGAGGCTTTATAATAAATACCATTCACAGAAAGTTGCTTTTTTAAAAAAATTTGTAATGGGAACACTTCATACTTTCAAGAAACTCTATAATCAAAACCAATCTGTAAAATCTTGCCAACGTGAAGATATCCTTTAAATTGAGAAAAGGCTGAAACTTTAGTCTTAGTGTTTCTTTTTAATAGTATAAACAACCTCCTGTAACAGAAGAACCATAAATTCTAAAACATAATACTGGTTGCATTTCATTAATTGATAAGCTCTTGGATAGAGTTCCCTTGGAAAACTCTGCCCTGAATATTTTAATATTTTGTCTACTCCTAGTTGAGAAACATATACTTTCTTGTATTATTGGCTTCTTAGAACAGGATCAAAGAACAAATTCTCTCAAAAGTTAAGGTCTTCAAAGGACTACTGTTATCCTGGGACACTAGACCAAATATAAGATGATAATAAGTTTATTCTTCAGAGTATAATGTGCTCAATAATAGTTAAGGCATTTACCATCTTAAAATATGACTAAGAGAAAAATGAAACATAATAAACACAACAAAGCTTCTAGAAATGAAAAAATTAACAATACAGTCAGTGTGGGCAGAATAAATTTCTTTAGATACCACAGAGATGATATCAAGACAGTCCTTCAATGCAAGTAGGCACTCAAGCCCACATTAAAGAGGGAGAAACATCCTATAAAAGAATACATTAAAGTATCAAATTATTAAATCCCTATTTTTGCTTGGTAGCTAAAGAATATAATTCTCATGCTCTAATCCACTTATATTATACAAAGAAAGACTTCTGCTTAATAGAGAAGTAGTAGGACTTGGAAAATCTACTTTTAGAAAAAAGAGGTTACTTCATAATAAAAAGGAAGATCATAACCAGGGTACCTGTTTTTACCTTTGCTTTGCGAAAGTGGTAGACCACCAGCATGCTGACGAAGTCCAGCAGCATACACAGGGCTTGGAAGGAGATGATAGCAAGTCGTAGATACTTATCCTCTTGGACAAAGCATGGGCGGTCATCAGCACAATAGGGACAACCTTCTCTGCAGGGCAGGCAGACATGGGTTTCCTCTGACACCCCTTTCCCACTTCCTGAAGACTGATGATCCGGATCCATTCCTGAAAGTTCCGAACAAAACCACAGGGTCATTTGCACCTCCGAGATAGGTGAGGCAGAGTACAGGATGAAAGCACAGCTTGCCTCTTCGTTTCTTTCCACATCTACTATAGACCTTTAGTTAACTCTCCTGCTAGGAGAGAGAGTTACTTTGCCTTTTAACTCAAACAAAATTCTTTGATGCCTTTGATTTTAAAATTCTCACTCAGAGTAATTGAGAAAAATTAGAAAAAATGGAAATGAAACTCCTGAGGGTAGAAAATAGTCCACTGAGCTTTTTATATCATCATCTACCACTCACATGATGATATTCCCTAAAATACAAATCCCATCCCTCTATAATCATTAAAGAATTAACCAGAATTTGGATAAGAAAGTTGACCTCTTTTATATAGAGAGTAAATATAACCTTCACTTATATCACTTATGAAACTTGACCTAGAGGGCACAGAACCTAAAATGAGGCTTTGATTGTTTTTTAATTCAGCAGAGATCTCATCTACAAAGTTCATTAGGACTAAATTGGATAAAATGGTACTTAACAGTTGTTCAATGTGCAATTGCCTAACAATACTGATGCTTTGCCTAGAGACCAGTCCATATTTACAAGCTACTATATAATTTCCCACTTTGCATACCCATAGGATATTTCCACAGTGTTTGCTAAATGTTGTTATTGATCGTCCATTTAATTTTAGATTCTTCTGTTTCAATTATCCAATGGAAGGTAGCTCTGAAGCTCAGTACCTAAGGTTTATTTTTAGTTTCTCAATTGTGTTCACTTTGGCACCAACAAATATTCAACTAATAACAAATAATGAAAAACTCAAATATTTCCAACTAGGCACTCAGCATAAAAGACATTAGTGAGTATTCACCCAGTTTAGTATAAGACACAATTTTGGTTGAGGAATTCAGGAAAGAGGTTTTTCCATGTAATAGCATTTTACTAATAGAAAGTCTACATCTTTCAACTCTAGTTAAAACTTCACAGTTGTTTTGAAGTATGTTTATCTACTTTTCCTTAGCATATAATCACAAAATTATAATGGAATATCATGCTGTAAAAGAAGATATTACTATTAAGAAAAAAGAAATTTCTTTTAAAAAAGAAGCGAGTTAAGAAGGACTGAGTGAAATGTTAAATTCCATTATCAGACAATTTCAAGTTGTGATCCAATCCATTGTCTAGCAGAAGTAATACAAAATCTGAGAAATATTAATAATATAGTAAGACTGTAGTGTAGGAGCCAGATAAGTATTAGACAGAGAACTTACAGAAAGATTTGGGAGCAGTTGAAATAATGACTGAGAATGTGAAAAGGAAGACACCTGACAAGTAGAAGCATTTACAATGTCATAATACCTGGAAAAGCCTGGAATGCGATCAAGTATGATGACTGAGGAGAAAGGCTATGGGAGTTGATGATTTTATCTCTCATGGACCTTTAAGATAGTACATTCAAAGACTAATGGAGATAGATATTAGGTGTCAGGACTTAGGGGCTAAATAAATGATATTATTTCAGTGAATGTTCCACCAAATGAAAAAAAAAAGAAAAAGAAAAGTTCATGGTAAAGAGGAATGAAGACGGTGTAAAAAAATAAACAAAAAAAATGAGTTGTAATCACCATAAGGAGCCACTGAGAACTAAGGAAAGACACAAAAGACTATGAAAAATGGGCCTAAGAAGTTACTAGTTCAGACTGTATACATTCAAGGGCATCAGTGAATAAATTAACTCTAAAAGCACGTCCTTTAATACTGGAAAAAAAGAATTATACAAGATTCTCAAAAATTTCTTTGTTTTTGTTTTGTTTTGGAGAAAAGAGAAATCATTTGGAAAAACTATGTAGAACTAAAAAAACAAGAAAAAAAAGAAAGAAGGAGGAGGAGCAGAAACAGAAGGAGCGGGAGGAGAAAAGAAAGCCAATCTTGCAGTTTTAGATTTCTCAACAAAGAAGGTAAGAATGCATACTGACAGTGAAAAAAGCAGTTTTGAGGCTGATGACATAAAAGATGAGACAGCAAAACAATCCAAGATGGCTTGCTGGATCAGCTCACAGAAAAATGACCCAGTTAGGTAAGGTAGTATGACTTATTAGGAGACCTAGTCAAGAGAGATAGTCTTATGATTTTTTAAAAATAATTATCTAAAGCATAGAAATAAATAGGATAGAACAGCTAGAAATGAGTAAAGAGGATTGCGTCAGTGACAGTTTTAGTCTTTATTTTCATGTGATTATGAAAATACACTTCAAGAGTAAAAGAAGAGACAAGTAAAAAAAGGAAAAAAGGCCAACATAAGGTGACAGAATGGAGTGGCAGCCTTCACTCTCTGGGGGCAGCTGGTGCACTATCCTCTGGGGACCTCATGTATCTAAGTCAATTTGAGATTAGAGAGGGAATTATTTCTCCATTCACATTACTCATTGATCAAAGGACCAGAGTCAGGAACAACCCTGCATTCCTAGATTATGCTCTCTTGAGTTCTGAACAGCTTCCTGCCTCTTGCATCACGACTTCAGAGGTGCTCCATAGCTGACAATGAGAATCATGTTAAAGATTTCGAGTCTGAGGCAAGGCACAGTACAACTGGTTTGATGCAAAGCCATTCAGAACTGTAGGAAATAGTCATCCCAATGGCTAGAGTTAAAGGTAGGGCTGAGAGGAATTTAAAGTGATAAAAAGCAGGTATCTGATGCAGACAAAAACTTGAGAATGTTAGGGCACACAGAGCAGAAGCTGAGATGAATGAGAAACTAAGACTTGGGAAACAATGTACTAAGTCTTGAGTACAAACTGGTTAACCCACCAAAGTCACCATACTGAATAAAATAAAAATGTCATGGATTCAGAACAAGAGAATCTCAAGAGTTATAGAGTAGTAAGAGAAGTTGGATGTTGGGGGTGATAAAGTATGAGCTCTGAGATTCAGATTTGGGAAGCTAAGGTTAGAATTTCCCCTTTGGGCCAAAATGGAAGAACAGTGACTGAATTTACATTCCCATCAGAAACTACCAAGAACAATGGAGAAAGTACCTGAAATGTGATGGTTTTTCAGATATTGGACATTAATAAGAAAGGACAGTGATTGCTAACAAGTGCAAACATACCCCAAACAAACCAAAGTGGCATAAATAGAACTCTAAAAAAGTTACATTAGTGAAATAAAAGTACCTGTGGAAGGTAAAGCTAGTTGTCTCTGTTAATTGAATCTTTGCTTTCTCCATCAGTTAAATGTGCTGACATGTGCTTATTGGCTTAAAATCTCCTACTTATTTGCATTGAGTATATATTACTTACTTTCTCACAAATGAAATGGGAATTTAAACTATAGCTGCAGAGATACAGTAGGTCTCCCAAAGGGGATGAGCAAAGATCAGCAAGCCTTTGAATCATTCCAACTTGAACATTATTGCTATATGTTAACTGCTTAGCACATTTGAGCTGTTAGTTTTTGTAGATATGACCATGCTGTCCCAGTCATATTTCAGAACCATTTGACAAGTTTGCTGCATTGTAAAATTTTAATCATTTTTTATCAGTCACTCTTAAGCATATTTTTTATTCAGTACCAAAATCATGGTCAATTTCCAATAAATCTAAAAATTCTTATTTCCTCCTTGATTTTTTTCCAGTGGTATGGTGGATTGAACCTAGTACTTTCATGTTAGACTATGCCCCTGAACTTTTTTATTTTTTATTTTGAGACAGGATCTCATTAAATTGCACAATTTGGGCTTGAACTTGCAATCCTCCTGGCTCAGCCTTGTGGAGGGCTAGCATTACAGGTATGCAACACCACTCTTGGCCAAAAGCTACTTTCTTTTTCTACACTGGGGACTGAGTTCAAGACCTTCACAGTGAACTACATTCCCAGGCATTTAAAATTTTTTTTTTATTTTGACAGAGAAACTCACTAAATTGCCCAAGTTGGGCTCAAATTTGGGCTCAAATTTTTTTGCAATCTTCTTTTTGCCTTGCCTCCTAGAGTGTACAATTATTTTATTATGACCAATTTGCCTCAGCCTTCTAGAGTGTACAATTATTTTATTATGACCATTATTTTACTTTCCCATAATTTCTTCATATTTAGTTGTTATTCTGTTGTATAGGTTATGTTTTTGGAGCATACTCAAGTTTTTTTTTAATAAAGTATAAGTGAAAGATTGGGGAAGGTAAGGGTAGTAGCACAAATTATATAGCATTCAACAGAGACAAAAATTCTTTTTGTTTTTTTTCTGGTACCAGGAATCAAACTCATGACCTTGCACTTGCCAGGCAGGTGCTGTGCTGCTGAGCTAAATCCCCAGCCCCAAGACAAAAATTCTTATTCAAAAATTTCTTATTGAACTCAAAAGCTATTCTTGAGTCTCAAACCATGTGTCAGACACCGTTTTAGTAAGATAAATCAGAAAGCAAAACACAGCTCTCTACTTTTGTCAAAACTATGTTTTAGTGGGAGAAAAGAGACAAAAGTGTTAGTAGTCAACACAAGAGGTTAAAAAAAAGGTATGTGAAAACTGAGAAGTGCCAAGAGTTAAAACAGATCGGGACAAAGTGAGAGGAATGCAATATGACGGCAGTGGGAGTTGAAAAGTTAAATGAGGTGGTCAGGGAAGTCTTTACTCTCAAAGTGATGCTTGAACAAAGATTTGAAGGATGTAATGGACAGTAACCACACTGACTTGGGTGGAGAGAATTCCAGGCAGAGGAATAGCCAGAGCAGAGGTGTTGGTCTGGAAGCCCACCTGGTACATGTGAGGAAACATGAGGAGACTGGTGCGTGAAAGCAGAGTGAGTATGGGACATTATAGCATAAAAGAAATAGAAGATTAAAGAAATAGCAGGTGCCGGGTGTGGTGGCTCACACCTGTAATCCCAGATCTCAGGAGGCTGAGGCAGGAGGATCGTTGTGAGTACAAGATCAGCCTTGGATACAAAGTGAGCTCAAGGCCAGTCTGAACTCCATAGTGAAACCCTGCC